CCATTTCGTCCTATTATTTGTATTTCCTCATTCCTCATGTTCATCCCACCATACCTCATCTTTTTTTGTCACTCTTCTAAACATTATTAAAAGGTAGACACAAACTTGATTACATCATCAAGAAAAAAAATTAGATTTTTTGATCTAAAATAGCAACCTGAGAGTATTATACTCAGAAATAATTCCCTTCATAGAACGGAAATAGCTTCCTTCACAGAAACAAAGAAAATTTTCTAAAACTCTAAAGAAGTTTAAGTAATTTCCTCTAAATGAGCCCTAAAGTTCAAGTGTTACCATAAGGCCTAATAGAATTGATATTCATACTTTGAAGCACTAATATTATTTGTATTGATTCAGTCAATAAAAAACATTAATGGAATCAAAAGTTCACATGACTAATTAAATCAATAAAAACAGCAATATTAATCCAGGCTTGCATCAGTATCTAAAAGCCAATATCATCATGCAAGCCCAGACAGAAGTTAAGCAGCTAATAAAAGGGTTTTTCTTCCAGCACTACTCCTAGATGATATGAACCACAATTATCTTTGCTTTCATTTTTGTGTGCATTTTCAGTATTATAGTCAAGCGCACTTAAAATCAAAAGCACAATAGCTTACCATCAATTAATATGTGTAACAGTAAAATTGTTTTCAGTATACTTCACCCTTAAAATAACTACTGATGTGAGATTATTTTATTATGCCAATGTATGTTTTGATTTAGTGATGTGTCTACAGAGCCTTATGTAGGATTAGTAAAATCTGGCACTTCTTAACTACTTCACTCACCAATGAAAGTCAGCACATTCCAACAAGGACCAAAAATGTGAATTAATAAACAGTAAATTTACTCATATAGTCACAGAAAACAACTGCTTGTTTCAGATACCACTATGAAATAGCAGATTATTATCCAGTTTTATCTGTAAGGTATTTAGTTATGGAATAGTCCTTGTTTACAGCCAAATGCAGCAATTTCTAAAATTGCAGATATATCTTGTACATCAGATAGATCTCTGTTAGGCTTTAAGATTAAGCAATGCTAAAATTATTTGGATCTTTTTAAATCCAATATTCCTAAAATGGTGAGAGCAAACATGCTGCTGCTGGAGGTTCTGAAAATTAGGTCCTCGCTACTATGAAACACAGAAGAATTCATAATGGCTTGTAAGAATAAAGTTGTAAGGATTAACGCCTTGGCTACATTCCAAAGATGTAATTGATTTCTTGGTTACTTAAAAATTCCTCAGCAGTTTCTCTTGGATTATTTATTTTTCATGTTCTGCACAGTTGAAAAGTTTACCATATTCCCATTTTTAATTCCAAAAAGATAGATTTCATTGTTCAGTACTGCTCTTATAAACTATACTTTCTAATTTTGCACAGTGTCTTGGAATTATTAATTAAAACGTAGAGCAGAAATATTTTTCATGCTAAATAAAAAAAAGGCATATCTTTACCAATCTTTTAACCACCATGCTTAGCTTTCCTGAAATGTATCTCAGGAAGTATGGCAGTTTTCACTGCTTTCTTTAAATGTTACAAGCTTTGTGGTCTCTCTAAAATCAGAATAAATCACTGAGATCAGCATCAGAAAATCTTCTGTTCTTTTGTCCTCTCTCTCTACCATAATGGCTCCTCACTAAAGAGAAGAAAGGTAATGAAATCACGGCCTCTCATTTGTCTGTGGCTAAATTTCCATTCATTTCACTGAGGCCAGGTTTTTGCCCACAGCAAGAGGTTCTGTTGGACTGGAGAAAGACTGGATCAAGTCAAAATAATTGTGTTAGAAAGTGGAACGATATGTGAAAAGAAAACCTGAAAAGGTCCTGAGAAATTGGGGTAAAGAAATATCACAGAAACAAACCCAGCCCTATCTGGAATCTCTATTTGCAGGGAAGCAGTACGCACAGGTCATTTGAATGTATTGCAAAGTCTCTGCATTCAACTAATATTATAAAGTCTCTGGTGCAAATTAAAACTTAAATGTGAACCACAGTAAAACTAGTACAATACGGGCTACTTGTATCTGCAGAATACCGATGCAGAAACGCAGATGTGAAATCAGATTCGCTTTGGTGATGGACAAACTCAGGTGTCTGCATGACATTTTACATATTGGCATTGATCTCTTTTTCACTGTTTTAAACGATGCGAGAAAGAAGATGTCATAAGAAGTGTAATTGTTTGTGAACAGCGACTTAATATTTCAAAAACTTGGCAAACTTTAGATGAGGGGAAGGACACTACAAGTCCAATGTCCCTGAATTCTTGCCTCGGCTAACTAGCTCATGGTGTGACCTTATGGCACCTTTTAATTTCAAATAGGATCTGAAAGCTGCTGTACGGATGCACTTTGGGCCACAGGAAAGCATCTCCTCCACTTGCTGGAAGTGTGATTCAATCAGGTCTCATTCAAAAACATCCTTGTGTCTCAAGTATGATGATCTGACAAATTAATGAAGATTATAAGGTCTTCGATAGAACACAGTGCTTTAACTCCTTTTAGCTATGACCTTGTCTTTTGACAATGCAGTAAAATATTTTCTCCTTTTTCCTCTAGTATATTTTAGCTGAAAAACTAAAACTAAAACTACTTTTACTTTTGATTCACACAAATTCTTAGACAGTGCCTTAAACACATTCCAGCTCCAAACACTAACATGTATTCTCTTAGGTACCATTTGTAATCCTTATTTGCTGCACAGCATTTACAGAATAAAAGCCTTCCAAGTTGAACAGCTGAGTCTACATCCATAGCTTTTTCTTCCCCTCCTGGTGCCCTACATGACCAAGCTAGCATGAAGTACAGGATATCGATTAGAAGTGTACTATGGATTCCTTGCACAGCAAGTTAAATTACTGTATACTGTATATTTTTAATTTCCCACATATAACAATAAACATGATTGATTCTTCAATTTCAGAGCATCGTTTTGGCAATTAAGAAAATAAATACCCTTTCCATGTATAGCTGGCTTTTTTTTCCAAGTAAATGCCTGCAGTGTATTAGCTCATGTGTGACAGACAAATAACTACTGCTCTCCCTTTAGGCCCCATTCTGTTTTCTATTTCTTTATTTTATTTATTTATTTAGAGCCTGCCATTCATTTTCACACCTGACAGTAAAAACCTCAGGACGTGGTTGTTGTGAAGAGGATTATCTTTCAGATCAATGCTGAAATTGATTCCAAACCACACTATTTATCAGCCTGCAGCTAAAGCACTAAGAGTCAGGAAACATTTCCTCTCTTTCAAATCCATTCTTATTCTACTGTTGGAAAAAAACATAGTACTACAGGCTACATTAATACATAGCTTTTCTATTCCTTGTCCAGGTGGAATATCAATGTCAAATGCACAATGCAATTAGTCGCACTATCAAATTCTCTTGAAAAGAAATAAGGTAAGAAGATAACAGTATAACTAACTTTTGCATTGCTGGCAAATAGTTGCTGGCATAGCCTTACTATGACAACTCAAGTCACTGAATCTCTTCTATATTTCAAATGAAATATACTGCATATTTCTATCAATATGCCATAATGATATGAGAAACATACATTAAATGTGCCTTTTTAAAATCAGACTTACAGATGTTTTTCCATCTCCAGGAAGCTAAAAAATAAAAAAAGAAAAAAGACCACTGCATTGCTACAACTGTGTATGCAAACTACAGGAAATTAAACCAGGAGATAAACCAAACTATCTAGGCATGATACAACAGTCATTCAGGTATGCCAGCCACATCAGTTAAACTCTGTCCTGCTTCGGTGGTTAACAAACTTCACAAGCAGGGACAAGAATCTGATGAATGGTGAAAGTTAATGGGAGTCTTTCCGTTCGTTTACTTCAGGCACTGTATGAGGCCTTTATTTACTTCAGAATATAGTGAAACTGTGAAACTGTTAGGTCATTCTGACTTACGGTTTAAATTGTATTTTAACAGCAGCCTGAAAATACAGGACAAAGATGATGAAAATTCTAGGGTTTCATCAGTTCTCTGAAGCTCTTGATGGCAGCATTAGAATGGTTTCACCAGAGTCTCAAACTGATTTTTTTTTTAAGTAAGTTAAGTATCCATGAAAGTTTAACATAAAATAAATACGGCAATGTTTAAAGCAGATACTGAATTCATGTCTCAAATTCAGATAGCCAGCTTAACATCCACTATCAAGACCTGATTTAATTGAGGCTAGTACTTAATTCTTTCTGAAAAAAGACCTATCTCAACTGCTCATTGAAACAATGAAACAAACCATTAGCTAATTTCAATCATTCAAGACAAAATGTTTATCTGTCTAAAATGTTTAGACAGATTTAATTTTTGAAGCTTTTAAAATATATCTCCTAAGGAATCCTTAACACACTGAAATAGTTAAACCAATAGTAACCTCATTTTACAAGTGAGTAGATGTAGAAAAGTATCAGTGTTTCACTTCAGGTAACAGAAAAAAATTCAGTGTGTGATACAACACTGAAACACAGGAACTTCTGCACCTTAGTCTCTGTTGCCTTTCCCTCCTCCTACACTCATCAGCCAGTTCAGGCAAACAGCAGACATTTTTGGCTTATATTCCAAGTTAAGACCTTGTAAAAGTCATACATTTACATGGAGAATGTTTCTTTTCTATAAATAGGCTTAGTATTTTTTGAAAATAATAAAAAATAGTGAAAAAATAGTAAATAGTAAATGTAGAAAATAGTTTTAAAAAAGCTGTTGTATTTTATGAAGCAAGCTTCCTCCTGTAAATGTTACATGCAGGTATACACGCACTGACTCTTCTCAAGTCAATGCTAGTTGCTTCAAATTTTTAGAAGAAAATGTTAATATTTTATATCACAGAGTCTCAGATGGATTTTGTTTGCTAGGAGACGAGTAAGTGTTAATGTCATTCGGGACTGCAATGAATCCCAATTATTTTGATCTACTAACAGTTTGTTACAAATGTAACAAAAGACATCCATACAACCATCAGGAGAAAGAGTAACTGGTACCTTTTTGCTTGAACTTTAATTCTTGTTGGAAGACATGACTTTGAAGATGTACCACTGCCGGAGTAACACGACCACTGCAGTTGTCCTCTCATGCTAGAGGTGAACCTTCTGGCTTATATCACTGCTGTGCAGTCTTCATACTTCTATAAAATGCAATGTACCACTTCCACAAAAAAAAAAGACAAATTTACCCACGTCAATTACTGGTACTCCTAGGAGAAATTTAATGGCCTGCAGGGATATAAATATACTGTGTACTTTTGACATTCTTCTATCTACTCTATCTATTGATATTGAGCTTGGGAAATACACAATAAAATTTTTTGAACTATTCAGCAATCAAATCACCGGATGAGTAAATGAAGGGAAGATGAAATTTCCCATTATTAGCAATCCAGTAAATTTGTCAGCATTACCACTCGTCTCTTTATTTTACTATTACTTTTCATTATATTTTTATTTTAAATTATTCCAAACTTCCAGCAAAATATGCAGAAAAGTAAATCTAAGAAAACATTAACAAGTCCTTTAGCTGGGCTTTTCACCTTCCATTCCCGTTTCTTATACACATTGTTAATCTCAAAACAGACACAAAAAGGTAGCCATACTTTCATAAAATTCTATTTTGCCAGAAACACATGCAGCCTGCGGCATTTACTCATATTAAGAGCAGCAAAGCACTCAGCAAGAGAGAAGATCACAATTTTTTATGATCTCTGTTGAATGTACAAGCACTTATTTTAAGTATGATCAATACAAACCCAAACTCCTAAGAACACTTTGTGTTATTCATTAATTATTTTGACTTTTTATGGAGAAGTGAAAAAGTAAGGTTTCCAGAGTTCACGGAAATTCATTTGCATCAATAAAAACAAAAACATATTTAAAGGTTTCTAGCAGAAGTGAAAAATTACACATCTGATTTACAACTAATAGAAAAAAAACTAAAAGAAATCTTATTATGTATGCATACAAAATGATTGGATAGTCATTGAACATGGCAACATTTCATTCCTGGGATAATATTCAGAAAGCAGTTCACAGCAGTTCCATCACACCACTACATATGCACTTTTATTTCTGTTAAAAATAAAAATAAATATTTTGCACAGCTGCATTTGCTTAAGAAATTGCATTTTAAATATCTTCCTATGTCAGCTATTGTTTAAAAACTCTGATTAATGAGAAAATGTTGGATAAAATTGAGTTCTCTATTATACAGCAGATTCTGAGCAACAAAACCTCTTAGGAAATGATTCTACCGGTTTACACAGTTAAGACTAGTGTGCTAGCTTTTTACTTTGGGCATAATAGCCTACTGTTGGCTACTTTTTTCCCCATTAGGCAATTATTTCCCACTGTAATTCTTGACTCATTGGTCTGTCTACTTATTTCTAATACAGATATAAAGAAACATTACAGAGATAAACGTGATCTTACAACTAAGAAACATTACAGATCTTACACCTACACATCACATTTAATAAAATCACATTAGCCAAGGAAAATGGATCAGTTAGGAAATTATCAGAGACCTAAAAAGTTTCTGTAACTTTGAGTTAGGGTCCAGTTCCTTCCAAAGGTTTACATGGGGCCTGAAAATGGGATTCACAACAGCCAGGATGAAGAGCCGAAAACTACATGACCTAGACAGTAGGCGCATATTGTCCTTGTGTAATGCAATACCATGCAGACCCAGGAGCTACCTCTGAACGATCCAGCCCTCAGACCAAAAGCAGCGCTGTTGGGTCAGCTTATCAGTTTACCAGAACTAATTAGCTCTGCGAAGTGCAGGGTTAACTGGCCTAAGCACTGAGCTGAGCTACTGCAGGTATGCCATTTCCAGAATATGAACTAGTACAACTCTGTTCAATTCTGCACTGGAGCAGGTAGAGTATCTTTACACAGTGCTGCACTGCATGATGTAGGCCGGTCTAGGAAACACATGGGAGAGGGTGCTCTTCGGAGTTTAGGTTTCTTAATTGGGCCTACAGGTAAGTGTTTAGAAGAGATTTGGGTTCTGTTACTCCTGCATATTCAAGGGACGGAAAAAGTATCCCTCTAGGTGTGGATAACCAGCTTAGTCTGCTTTGCAACTGAATGGAAAACTTACACAATTAATAGCTTGGAACACTTATAAGACTTCTGGGACATCATGATTAAGTCTCCACTCACTTGAATAAGTTTAAATCTGTTTCCCATATCCCACAGTAGCGTTCCTTAATCACCAAGCAAAAAGCCAGGCTAGGGTCATACCACTGTTATTCTGTTTATGTCCACTGTGTCCTTCTGAGTGAGAGGATCAAAGTTTACAGAGATAAGGAAACAGAGATTATGATTTAATAACTGCGTGAATGAGGACACTCATCTGAGAGCACAGGTGAATGGAGACCAGCAGTACAGTACAGCTTCAGCTTTTTACATTAAGCATTCATTACATGAAATACATAAATAGCATGGAGAACAGGGATCAGAAGTCAGGATTACCACCTCATGAAGAACACCAAAGGGAGGCTCTCTCACAAAGCCAAAGCAGCTTTCACTGCTTCTGGTCCCATAAATCTGACATTTCTTGTTGCGCTGCACCCCTTCTTCATGAGAAGGGACAGAAGAACAGTTTCTTCCATGATAGTCTTGTCTGTACTCCAGTGGCCAAGGCAATCCTCTACAAGGCTAGAATTCCCATTTATACAGACTGAGGCAGGCATACAACTTTGGTGATTGACCAAATGCTGCAACCTTCACATTATGATATAGAAGGTGGATAAAACAGTAATTTTTTAATAAAAAAGCTGTGACTGGTGTATGCAGTAGACGCTGAGGTTGCCAAGATGGTAAGCACTCTGAGTAGGTTCAATTGCAGATACGTAAGCATGTAAACAGCTTAACTGGCAAGAAACACAGGCACTTGAAAGTGTAAATTACTGAAATACTAGTACACATTTGATGGATTGCGTTCTTGGATTTAAGCATCTGAATTTCTCCTTTATTCCCAGACAGGATCTAATACTGCATTCTGGCTATAATGGGTGATATTCAAATTCTTGATGATAAATAGACAGATAGACAGATAGATAGAAATCTTGACAGCATAGTGCAATTAACATTAGGTGATGCTCAACCCTGTTCCCTCTCCTCTTCTGCCTGTGTTTAGGGCCACTCATTCTGCTCTAATGCACTCATATCTTCTTTCTTGCCATTATTTATCCTTAGAACATTTTCTTGGGTCTTAAATAACCTCCATGTTTTCATATACTTCTTTTGGAAATATTTTCATACACATCTTCTGAGACCTATCGTATTACTTTTAAAAAATGATAGTCCATATATCTACAAAGACTAAACCTCCATTCAGTATATGACATGTAATTCAATTGTAAGTGAGAGCCCAATTTAGACCAAATGCTGAAGTTGTATTAAGCTCATTAGTTTGTTCCTCAAATCAAGTCTCCAAGGTACAGTGCTGATCACAGAGAAATTTCTCAGAATATAATTCACCACAGAGAAACATTTTTTTCAGGACAGGCTCTCCCACTCTGCGTAATGGAAACATAGTTAAGAGATGCATCTTACCACTGTGTTGCTATACCTATTTGTGTCTTTTGATTGCTTTCAGTGGAGTTACACTAGAGTAAGATTGAAGCAAAGTAGTGGTAAATCAGCCCTAAGATATGCCCCTGATAGTTTTTTGTTTTATTCCAGACCATTAGCAGGCTATCATCTGGAATGACAGTGCAAGAAGATCATTATGTCTTAATGAGGCAATTAAAAAAAAAAAAGTGCAGTTGTTGCAAAATATTAGATTGGGCTCAAGGAAACAGCAGCAATGCTTCACGTACTATTGTGATTCTTTATTTGCTGCTAACTAAGTCTTCAAATTTTAAATATGTAGTTTTAAATTATCTAAGTTAAACATATTCCTAATGTTAAAGCATGAACCGATTCTTTAACATGTTGGCCTACTTTTAGAATTATTTACAGGTGCTGTTCTAATATCATTTTTATGGTATATTGCTACATATTATTTTATTAATCTGTGCTTCATGATGTCTTAGCATTTACATGGAGCGCTGTAAAAAATGTTTGTGCTCAAATTTCAACCTTACACAATTTTTTACCCGGTAACAGCTATGCTAGAGATTTCAAAAAAGCCACCAAAACTTACGCTGATACAACTTCTAAAAATATGCAGCACAAAAGATCATATTTCCAAAGTTATACAGGCACCTAACCAAGTTGGGTAAATGCCTAATTGTAATTCCAGGACCACTTGTTTCCCTGCTCCCTAGAATTTCACAAATTTGAGTTCATTCTACTTCATTCAAGAATGTTAACTTCAGTGTCCTTTTTACAATCACAGGTGTCCCTAAAGTCTTCCTGAAGAAACTCCCAAGACCTAAAACACCTCAGTTACTTTATACACAGGTGCCATTTAGCTGAGCAAAAATAAAACAAACTTAAAACAAATTCCAAAGGCAACTGAAGTAAGTTAACTAACCCTCATCTATTAACTATACATCTACAAAATGCAAAGTTGTAGTTGAACTAATGCTATCTAACTGTTCAAAAGAACTAACAAAATTCCTGCATTTGAGAAAATTTGAGAGTGAACACAAACTCCATTTTTCCTTTAACCAAGCTTTTTAGAAACTATCTGCAATAGTCATGGATATATCAGAGAATACAATTTTTTGGTATCCATTGTACATGTCCCTAATTCTGATGCTTTATGATATTTTAAAACATTTTTTAAACATCCACTTATGTCAAAAAAACAGCAGCAATGATCTTAGTGGGATGAGTGTTATTAAGTTATTTATAATTGTTGTTTATGCAAAGGAGAAGAGTATCAAGGCACTATGACAATGTCTTTAGTCTCTGCTCAAGGAGGTGAGAAAAAAGGCTCTAGGCAGAAGATCTGCACTGAAGCAAAGCAAAAAACCATATTTAGCTGAGCAACGTAGCCTCAGACTAGAAAATGAAACATGGCATTAAACTGGGTGTTATTTACATTGGATAGAAAGAGTAAAACTATCTCAGATTTGGAAAGAAGCTCACAAACAAGGTAAAAATTGTAAAAAATCTGAGATAGTTGTATGAAAGAGATCCACAGGCTCACTTAGCATAGCTGTGGAGAAAAAATACATTGCCGATATTCTAGAAACATTTCACACCATCTCTTCTACAAGTAAGACAGATGAGTGGATGTTCAAGAACAGATGACGCGTTTATATTTTTCATATAATTTCCAATTTTTTTCCCTTTCATTCTGAGCTCATACTATTAAATAATATTGAAACTGCATGTAAAGTGTTAGGAAAGTATGAGTGGCTAAAATAGAGATGCTTCAAAAACTCAGAGATGCTGATTAAAGACAACATTGATTAACTCATCAGTACCTAAAGGTAAGAGTCTGTTTTTTAACTGATTTTATTTACTACATTCTTTGGCCAGAAGAAGCTTCTACAAATAAAAAGCCATTAATCGATTTATAATCTATACACACATATCACTAAGGAAGGCAAAAGAATCTACATGCATGCAACACTGCAATTATACAAACAAATAAAAAAGTTTAATTGTAAAATCTCAGTTTCCAAAATTAAAAACATTTGCTCTTAAATTTATGACATATTTTGAAAATACGTAACAGT